AAAATAAGAGTTTGCATTTTAAATAAATAATTTGTTATATTTGCCTGTTAAACAAAGCTAGCCTAGAAAACACACTAAATGTTAATATGAATATAACTTCAGACCTTTTATAATAAATAAGAAGATAGCATTATTCTAAAATGATTCATTTCAGAGACTCAATGAGAAATTGTAAAGAGACATAATTTAAGCTAGACAATAGGTGAAAGGTATGTATCATAGAGTGATAATCTAAGCTAGACAATTAGGTGAATGATATGTATCATGGGGAGTTTATATGGCATACCTATCTTCAACAGATTGTTTGGTTTCTTCAGTCATTGTATATATAATTAGATAGAAAACATCCTGCATACAGGTATAAAATTATACTTACAGGAAAATCATATCTCTTATGGATGACTCACATTTTGATTCTGGTTAAAAGTAAAGAAAAGTGATAAGCTTGCTTGTGGCCTCACTGCAAACACCTGGGCCATACACTTACAGTTTTGCTGTAAGGCCTCATGCTGTGACAGAGTCTACCACTGAACTGCTATCTTGGATGTCATCCAGAAGAAGGTAATTACTAGGAGTACCTGCTTTGAGTAAAACATACTTTTAGGTCATAGCCAAGGAAACCTTGTATTACACTTCATCTACGAGCACAGCTGGAATTTGATGCATAAAATCTGTCTACCAAATGTGGTGTTTGCATTATTTTTTAAGCTAGTATGGAATAACTAATGGGATCACTAGGTCAGAATGTCAAACTTAGTGGTTATCAGCACCAAGGTTTTGTTTTATGTGTGTATATGGTTTTTCTTGGATAACTTAAAAAAACAAACAAATGAACAAAACAAAGCAAACAGGGTGTAAGTAAAAATAGAAAGGGTTGAGAATAAAGGAAACTGTAAAACAAGCAAAGATGGGATAAGAAGGTTTTTGCACTAAAGCATGAAAGATGTTTCAGTGTGAACCATTTTAAGAAGACCAGAAACAAGATAACTGAACATATACAGAGGCGCGCGCACGCGCGCGCGCACACACACACACACACACACACACACACACACCTTGTAATTCATATATGTGAAAAAAAGCTTTCTGCAATTTTTTTACCTTTTTTTAAGTCAGATTAAGTGAGATGCTAAACATATTCTATGCTCTATTCAATTTTGTTCTGCTTCTGTTCATTAAAATATTTATTGACTACTACAAAGGAAGACAGCATATCATTAATGGGTCATAATATGTAGCTGGGGGAAAGTTACCACTGTTAATGAGTGGCTCTTTTTTTCTCTTAACTGTTTGTTTATTTTCTTTTTTAATCATTTTTTGAATTTTAAAAACAATCTTTTCTCATTTTACATAACAATCCCAGTTCTCACTGCCTCCCATCCTCTTGCTCCCCACACCTTCCCTCCACCCCACCCCCATCCATTCCTCAAAGAGGGTGAGGCCTCCTATGGGGAGTCAAGGAAATCTGGCATAACTCTTTGAGGTAGGACCAAGGCCCTCTCTAGGCTGAGCAAGGTATCCCTCCTAAGAGAATGGGTTCCAAAAAGCTATTTCAAGCACTAAGGATATGATGGGGGGGGGAGTCCTGTGTATATGTCAATAAAGCACTGTTGGCCAATAGGGAACCAAGATAGGTGGGACTAGGAGTCCAGGAGGAATCTGGGAAGGAGAAACACGAAGAGTCAAGATGTAACGCCATGGGGTAGGAAGCCCAGAAACCTCTCCGGTAAGAGAAATACTTAGATTAGCAATTATGGAATAAATACTTAAGTCAGAGCTAGTCAGTAAGAAACAAGCAAGGCCAACAGCTTCATAATTAATATAGCCTCCTGTGTGTTTATTTGGGACTGATGTGGCTCTGGAACCAGGCTGGCGGGAAGGCTTCCCTTTACAAGGATAGATCCTAGTCCCACTGCCAGTGGCTCCACAGACTCCCCAAGCCACACAGCTGTCACCCACATTCAGAAGGCCCAGTTCAGTCCCATGCAGTTCCCCGAGTCAGTCCAGAGTGAATGAGCTCCCACTAGCTTGAGTCTGTTGTATTTTTTATTTTAATTATGAGTGTGGGCAGGCATCTCTCTGTGGGTACAGGCACATTTCTGCTGGGGCCAGAAGACTGTGTTAGGTTTCCTGGAGCTAGAAGCTACAAGTGGTTGTCACATACCAGCTCCAGAATCCTAACTGTGTTAGTTACTTGATTCTCAGCTCTTTATGTTTTTAGTTACAGTCTGTTTGCTCAATTTTTCAAGCTACCCAAGGACAGCCATATATACCTACAACTGACCACCAAAGGTTTTAGCTGTGAAACATGCCTCTAGAGCTTGAAGTCAGAGTCCCATAACATGGATACGGAGACCCCAGCTTCGGGTTTCCGAGAGAGCGGCAAGAACTCAACCTGGGTCATCTCTGCAGCCCACAAACTTGGTTCTTTAAGCAAAATAAATAGAGAGGAATGAAATGCTTGTTTACACCACTGGAAGATTTGAGGACAGAGTCAGTTCCATCAGAATTTCAAGTAGTTGCATGACATCTCTTGAGAAAATAACATTTTTTTTTTTGGTTTTTCAAGATAGGGTTTCTCTGTGGTTTGGAGGCTAGCCTGTGACTAGCTCTTATAGACCAGGCTGGTCTCAAACTCACAGACATCCACCTGCCTCTGCTTCCAGAGTGCTAGGATTAAAGGCGTTCACCACCACCACCCGACTCTCTTGAGAAAATAAAAGCTAATTATGGTGGCACTATTTACATGTAGAATGCCACATATCACATGTGTATTCTAATAACATTCTTAGATATGGTTTCTCATTTTATACTTACCACAGCTTTGTTAGTCTGTTACAAAATTATCATTTCAGCTTCTACTTCAGGAAATCAATCCTCAATCAGAGAATACTTCCCCCTCCCTCTTCAAGGTAGTAAATAGCAAACATATTTTAATACAGGGAATATGATTATAAAATTAGTTTAAGCCTGTTGAATAAAAACTAATTTCTTTCCTTTTATCAAACAATTTTTTCTTCATGACTTGCCCTGTACTACACCTCAAGGCCACAAAAGTAATTAATACTACTCTGATAGCCTCACCTAATGAGGAATAAATATCTTATCTGAGGGACATTTCAATATCACCATAAGTAACAGAAAAACAAGTTATCTGTATTGTGCAGCCATCGCCTGTGGCCCAGCCGTACAGAGATCTGCACTCACTGGTAGTGTCTTTTTCACAGACCAAGGTCTCAGGGGATGCAAAAGACACTGTTACTTCCTGGTAACATTAGCACAGTTCAGAATTCTCTAGATACAGATGGCCGTCTCCTCTGACTATGTGCATATTAAAGATTTGTAATTGCAACAATATGGATAGTCTACACAGGATTAATTGAGGCAAATTGCACATTACAATACACAAAAGAAGCTCAATTCATTAGGCTCAAGGCTTAGTTTCCTTCTTCCATTTCACATAAACTTAAAAACTGATATTCATAATACATAAAATCTACCATACAATTCAAATTAGTTTTGTTTTATGTGATCTGCAAATGTAAACATATTGGGAAATAAATCAGACTATCACATACAGATGCAGAATTGATGTGAGAATTTGTGACAAATACTAAGGTACTCTGTCCTTGTTTTGCTATTATCTTTAGAGCCAGCTAAGTATATAATACTCTTCTGTGTCTAACTGTTACCTAGTTTTGAACCCTAAATTATACCACATACTTCATAGGAAATCTGGCTGTTACTGAAAATTTACTAATCTTTTGAGGAATTTAATTGTCATCACTTAAAAATATCGTGTTAACTCTGAAAGAAATTCTAAAGGAAGGCTCCAGAAACAGGAGAAAGTCAGCATTTCTCTTGAAAACAAGCATACTGCTTTTAAAGACATTAGCTGGAAGAACAAGCAGTTCTCTGGATATACGTCTTCTGACAATGTTGACAAGATGGCAACATAACACAGTGTATACCCTAAGGATCTTTAACTTACCCTCCTGCTGGAAGACTTGGAGAAGGAAGGGGGATGCTTTTCGCACTAGAATTGATGAGGCTCTCCTGTGAATGTGATGATAGCTTTGGCCCCTTAGTTTTCTCAAATGAATGGTGATGATGGGTGTATCCAGGAATATCAAGTATAATACAACAAAAACATAATCTTAAATTTCACGTTCTTGTTATTCTCAATAAATAGTCCCAGTTACCAAAGCCAGAATCATGACAATATTTTGTCTAATCATTCAACTCTGAGTATTCAGAGATTTTATTGTCAAAACATAATGCCAAATAATGCATTTTGCTTTCATGTCTGTTTCATGACCCATTTCCGAGAATTGTATCACCCATCTCCTAGCACATTTAATCTTTTCTACTGTCTTTCCACATGCTGTTACTTATGTAGCAGCAAAGAGAATCATCTAATACCAACACATTAGTCTAACGATGAAGCTCCCTGGCAGCCAGCCTTCAATGCAGTCCTTATCAAACCGAATAAAATCCAAAGACCTTACACTGTTTTCTAATATCTCAAAGGATTCACACTCTCTTCTACTTTATTTCTTCTTCATGTTCTTCTACACTGGTCTTTGCAGTTTGTGGTCTTGCTTTTTAAATAACCCAAACGTATTTGTTTGTCCCATTGAGCTGTGTGTTGATATGCCCCAGTATTCAACTACTCGGAGAGAGAGGTCATTATCATAGTTTGAACTTTAAACTTTAAAGCATATTGTTCAATTATATTATGTCATACATTTTACAGGTATTTGAATAACCATCTGAAATCTGCAGATGTTATCAGTTATAGAGACCATGTCTAGGATGAATGAAGCCCTAAATTTAATGCCTACCAATGCATGTGTTCTCTCTCTCCCCACCCTCTCTTTACACACACACACACACACACACACACACACACACACAAACACTCCCTACACAAGTTATTGTCAGTATTTTATCAGTATATATAATCAAATCTTAAACTCAATGAAACAGGAGACATTTGCTGAATGAGTATTAATTTTATTTTGTAGAATAGAATACAGGTGAAATGTTCACTACATTCTTGTTTGTTCCAGTGTCCCGACACTAGCTTCATATATACAAAGAAGAGTGTACTACTGTTTTTTTCCTTACACTTTTTCCTAAAATCTATAAATCAAAGGTGCTTTGCTAAGCATGACACTCAAAATTCTCTAACATTATTTGGAACTATGGACATGCATATGTAATATGTTCAATAACATGTGAATTTAAATTGTAATCCAATATGATCACATCTTAGATATTTCTTGCCATTAGTTTTGAAAGTGCATTTGCTTTATTCACCTCATTGTAAAACCCAACCTGACTGATTAATACATGATCAAGTTCCATGAAGTAAGAAATTCCCAAAATATGAAAGTCAAAGCAATCCTAGTCACTTTAAGAGGCCATTACCCAGATCAATTGGTTTCAAGGAAAAGGTTTCTTTGGATGGGAAAAATGGTTCCTTTGGAGGAAAACTCATAGTTTGACACACTTTCATATCAGCCCACAAAGGCATACTGTTAGGAAACCAAGCCCTGGAGAAGCAGTTGTTCGTTCTGTTTTAGTCCTGTTTTCTCATACAATGGTACAGAGTAAGTGGATGATTTATGGAACATGACATTCTAGTAAGCACAAGCAAGATGAGTAAGTGACTAAGGGAACCACTAGAGACAGTACAAACATCATCTTAGCTATTGGAAAAACGAAAGTGCTTTAGTTAGCTTGTATATGTGTCAATGAGAAGGTAGGTGTTTTTGAGTACATTCCAGGTGAACTAGAATTCATGTCAACCTACAGGAGAATAAAGGACATTTTTTCCTGGGAAGGGAAAAGTCTCCTTATTTGTTTTTAAAAGGAATAATTCATTCGGCATTTGCACTGATTCTGTATTCCCAGGCTAAGCCATTATACATTAGGATATCTTAAATTGGACCATTTTGGCCTTTATAAATAGAGATTTCTAGTTCTACTGTGATTTACAAGGTATTTGTCAACCCAAAATCTGTCCAAAAAAATTGAACACTTGGGTTCCAGTGTTGGAGAACCAACGTCATTGCTTCTTTCTCTCACCTGTGGTTAAGCCCAGTATTGCTTATAGATTTCTTCAGCAAAAACAAAGAGCAACAGATGCTTCTGTGCAGAATCGCAGTAGAATTGGATTCAGTATTGTACATTCTCAGGTTATTATTGTGTTTATCTTGTATTGTCTTAGTAAAACAATACTTTTCAAATTGACAGAGCCTCCACTTTCTGTGCAGGTCAAATCTGGTTTAGATGACCTATATGTTCTAAGAGCCTAGTGTGAGAGCAATTAAATTATTAGTAAATTCAGATGATGCAAACATTAAGGCTTGGTTCTATTTTTTTCTACTCTGTTTTCCCTCAAGTCTATAATGATGTATTCATCTGTCTAGTAATTTCTTGGGAGCATTGTTTCATAAATTTATGAAATAGCACAATTCATTCCATAAAGTACCTTTGTTTGTGTAAATAATCATAATTTCTGAACTTTTCAAAAACCTAATTAAAAACTTCTGTGTCATATAGTTATCTTGTAGTATAGAACATTTCCTGGCATACATTGGCATAGTAAAGGAAGATTCAAGCCAAGGATTACTGCAGTTTAATTGGGTTTAGTTCAGGAGCTTATACATATAAATAGGGAAGTTTATGTGTAAAAAGAGGGTGTGTTGGGAAATAAAATCGAGAAGACTGTTGGCAAAGAAATTCAAGTGAAGCAGATGAGTCCCACAACTGCAAATAAAATGAGATGAGGTAGATGACTGCTTAGATTTCATTGAAGTTGAAGGGGAGAGGAGGTCAACTTCAACATGGCTATAAGCGCTTCTCCTTTGCCGTGTGACATGTCAACTCCCTGAGGCATCGTCTGAGGAGTCCAAACTTTCAAAATAACCTTCACGAAGGTAAAACATGTTGTTACTGAATTGTTTATCTAGATATCACCTTACTCACAAAAATATACAGACTCCAAAATCAGTATAGGCAGATTGATTAGTTTTATCAAAGCCATATTTAGGACTATGAAAAAAAAAACATTTACCTGATACACCAATTACAGGAGCATGGACTTTTCAGTTTGACTTTGGTTCATGTCTTTTAAAGGGATAAGAAGATAGTATTTAGCAATTTTAACAATGAAAAGATGTAGAAAAGATAGTAATTCTACTCCCTCAAATGACAAAGGACCTTAAAATGAAGATAAAGGATAAAGGACTTGTCTATATGGAATTTCTGCTTCTATAAGGAATGAGCTATACAATAACATAATGGCACAATAATTAAAGGAGAAGAAATTAGTTTTGTAGGAAATGAAATAAATGAAATAAATGATGAATTATATACTTGTCTGATCCTTTAAATCGTACCTTTTTTTCTCTTGAAGCTTTAGTTCTGGAGGTATCTATGGTCAAGGAGACAGGCACAGGGAGCATTTGAGTTTATATATTATGCCATTTTTCTAAATTAATTTGTAAGAGCTAATATAAAGATATGCTAGAACAAAACAAAAATGCATTTAAAGATCCAGTTTGCTAGTGTACAGAGTACCATACACCTTTGTCAAAATCTATGGTTGTCTTTGTGGAATACCTAGATGCTAATAAACGCAATTCTACTAATAAGATATTCATTGAAATTTCTTCTCTTTCACAAATTTAATTTATAAAATTATATATATATTTAATTAAACAGAGTCTGGGAATCACACATATTCAAATTAATCCATAGAAATACAATTATTTGACGTCTTTCTTAAAATGCCTTAAATGTAGCAGGGTAAGACCCTTATAATTATAGCACTCATGAATTTATCAATATTCTTGGTAGAATAGAGAATACGATTATAAGTGCTGATAAAGGGCAATCATATATACAGTATAAGAAGTACCTCATTGTTTTGAGACTAAATTTAATGACTGAAATATACTTCTTAAGACATAATTTTGCAGTGAACTATGGATATCTGTATGTGAGCATGAAATAGTTAAACAATGTGATATTAATAAAGAGACAAAACATAATTATGGAAAAATAAGGTGAAAATATTTGTAAAAGGAATAGGCATTTTGCAACAAATGGACATAGTTACCATCTGTCAGAAAATTCCATAATTTATTTAATACCTTATCAGCAGGATACCTGATGCATTATTTCATTCACTGCTGAATGCTTGTTAATGATTTTATGCAATGAAAAACACCACTGTACATACAGAGAAAGTATGGTGAAGAACAGAGCTATGCAACCAAATTACAGCACTAAGTCTTTACTTCATGAAATTCAAGTTTAATTGTGTTAGATAGGGGATTTGAAAGACAAGTTATAGTGCTCATTTCTGAAATAGCTGTTTGCTGAAATGCAGCCCCAGTTGTTTACAAGCCTTTATATACAAACTTAGGGACAAATGAGCAGAGATGCAATGGTTGTTATTGCTCATTTGTAGGAAGCAATTCACAAAAGACATATCTTGGACAGAGAGAAGAATCAGCTAGGGTGTTGTCAGGTGGGTTGGGAAAACCACAAGAACCAAGGTTTGAGTTCATTCTAGATGAGACACACTGAGGAGGCTGGATAGGTGGGAATTATTGTGCTCAAACGGACTTCCTGTGGTTGCAGAAAATATAACAGCACTATTACTGCAGGGTACAACCCATGGAGTCAAAACACCACGAAGCAAGGTTTTCTTCCTTTGAAACATCCATTTCGTTTCCAGCTCTGTTGGTGGTTTCCACAGAGCAGCTCAGGCAGAGTCATGTCATAGTTCCAGGGTACCATAACTTTGGGTGATATTTTCAGTATCATTACTAAGAAGTCTTAAAAGGTCACTTTCTCAAAAGACTCACCTTGGAAAAATTTATTTTTCACCTTACTGTGTAGAACACACACACACACACACACACACACACGCTCATCTGTGTTCATTGCCACTCTATTCACATTTGTGAGGAAATGGAAACAACAAAAATAAAATCCTTTTTACACTGGTATCTTTGAGAGTTCAAACTGTATGTCCTGAAGCATATGTTTCTTTCTAATATAATCAGTGCCATCAGGAGTTTTGAGACACAGATTAGAGTTTTAGAAGCAACCATCTCTGTTCCCTGCTTTACACCCTTTACTCTAATTCTAACTACATTAGAAGGAAATCACAAAAAAATATCATACAGTCTACTCACATCCTAAGAGCAAAAAATAGTTTATTTCTGGGATGACTCATGCTTCCTGAGAACGAAGGGTAAATCACCAGTCTTTCAAGGCTAGTCTAGATTTAAGGGTAGGACAACTGAAAATTACTTTCAAAGTTCATGGCTCATCACCAGACCTTTCTTTAAGATTCAGACCCAGCGATGCTAAGTAACAATGAGGGCTCAAGGCAGGACACACGGAACTCTATCTCCCTGGGAAGCAGAAATAGAAGAGATTTTGTGGGTGGACAGTTGTGGGTAGGAATGAGAACAGTAGGGAGAAGGCAGAGGGAGGGTGATGGATAGACTACTGGAATGGGGGAGACATTTGGATGTGATGTGAAAACCTAATGTGGTGGAAACTCCCTGGTATATTATGAGGGTAATCCTAGCAAAGACTCCCAGTCATGTGGGATACAGAGCCTGAAATGGCCATCTTGTGTCACGACAAAACGCTTCAAGCAGTGGGACAAGGATATCAATCCAGCCCCAAAAGCTTGGACCTTTGACTTGGCCTGTTTGCAAGATGTGCTGGGGTAATGGTGGCACCAAACTTGTTGGAGTGGCCAGCCAATGACTCTTCTAACTTAAGACCCAAGCCAGGAGAGGGAACCCAAGCCTGACACTGCTTGCATGACCAGAAACCAGAGGCTTGATAGGTCAGGTACTTGAGAAAGAACCAAACATGACTGGCAAAATGAAACGGTCAATTAAAATGATATTCTGCTATACTCATAAATTGGTGCCTGGTTCAGTTGTCATCGGAGAGGCTTCAGCCAGCAACTAATGAGAGCAGATGCAGAGACCTATAGTCAACCATTAGACAGAGCTTGGAACTCCACATAAGAGAGGATGGAAGGATTGTAGGAGCCAGAGCAACTAAGCAACTCATAACCACTGAAGCAACTAAGCAGGGTTCACAGAGAGTGAAATGACAACCAGGGAGTCTGTGTGGGCCTGACCCAGGTTGTCTGCATCTATGTCATGGGTTGTTTAGCTTGGGTTTTTTGTGAGATTCCTAATAGTGAGAATGGAGGGGGCTGTCTCTGACTCTGTTTTGGGAAGCCTTTCCCTCCTACTTGGTTGCCTCATCTAGCCTTGACATGAGGGTTTATGCCTAGTCTTTTTTTTTTTGTTTTTTGTTTTTACGAGACAGAGTTTCTCTGTATTGTTTTGGAGGCTGTTGGTCCAGCCTGGCCTCGAACTCACAGAGATCTGCCTGCCTCTGCCTCCCGAGTGCTGGGATTAAAGGCGTTTGCCACCACTGCCCGGCGGTTTGTGCCTAGTCTTACTGTAATTTGTTATGCTGTGTTTGGTTGACTAACAATTGTGTAGTACAGGTAGTCAGTGTTTATCTTGGGTCAGATAATTGATTCGTTTCCTCAGTAGAGCAGCAATGTAGGCATCCAATGTAAACCTTCTTAGATTTTTGTTCCTCCTCAACCTAGATCAGAACCTGCATTTGAAATACCCATTGGGTCATTTTCACATTAGCATCTGATGGACAGCAGTCCAGGACACTCTCTAGTGCTCCTTTCTTAAGGAATAGGGACAGCTAAGACCAGTTCTGTAAGTTTTCAGATAAAGAGGTAGGTATCTGGTTTCTAGATCTTTTTAAAATTTAAATTAGAAACAAGCTAGTTTTACATGTCAATCCCAGTTCCCTCTCCCTCCCCTCCTCACCTGCCCCCCACCAGACCCCTATCCCATCTCCTTTCTGCTCCCCAGGGAGGGTGAGGCCTTCCAAGGGGGATCTTCAAAGTCTGTCATATCATTTGGAGCAGGACTACCCCTGCTCTCTAGGCTGAGAGAATATCCCTCTATGTGGAATGGGCTCCCAAAGTCCATTCGTGTACTAGGGATAAATACTGTCCACTACCAGAGGCCCCATAGATTAACCAGACCTCCAAACATCCATGTTCAGGGGGTCTGGAATAGTACTATGTTAGTTTCCTAGCTATCAGTCTGGGGTCCATGAGCTCCCCTTGTTCAGGTCAGCTGTTTCTGTGGGTTTCTCCAGCCTGGTCTCACCCCTTTGCTCATCACTTCTCCCTCTCTGCAACTGGATTTCAGGAGTTCAGCTCAGTGTTTAGTTGTGGGTGTCTGCTTCTGCTTCCATCAGTTACTGGATGACATATAAGGTAGTCATCAATCTCATTATCGGAGAAGGGAATTTAAGGTAGCCTCTCCACTATTGCTTAGATTGTTAGTTGGGGGTTTCTAGATCTTTAAATGCATTCACAACAGTTCCCTCATTCTATACTTTGGGAGACCAGCATTAATTTCTTTTAGTAGTAGAACTGTCATGATCCCGCCATCACCCGAGAAGCCCTAACATGGAGAGGTTCCATTTACTCAGCATTGCCACTTTGGGGATCAAGCTTCCAGCACAGAACCCTCTGGTGATACTCTCATGTCACATCCAAGCCTGAAAACAAGACCTAATCTATAGTGTCAAAGTCTTCATCAGAAGGCTGGTTTTGCCAACTGGTTTTACTCCTGTATTCTTTATGGTTTGGACATTAACTCATAATTTTCCATCTTTATAAGCTGTTTTACCTTTTTACTTTATATTTTATTGTGATAAAATGTTTAAAATGTTTATACATATAAACACATCCATACAAACATCCCTTTCTCTCACTACTAAAGCTATTAAGGTCAATAAACATGTTCAACATGATTGTATGAAAGGAGATCACTACATACGATCAATTGTATTTCTGTATGCAAGCAGTAAACCACCTGAAAACAAATTGAAAAAAACCAATTCGTTTTATGATAGTTTTAAAAATCAAATACTTGGAAAGAGTAGAACAAAAGAAGCAGAAGACTTACATACTTAGAGCTCTAAATCGTTGAGGAAAACACCTAAGTGTGAAAGTAAGTAGAATGACACCCTGTGTTGAGTTAGAAGGCTGACTAGTGTCAATCTGGGACAATTACCCAAACCAATCTGCAGATTGGAAGAATCTCAGTAGATTTTTCTGACGAAATCGACAAGCTGATTCTGAAATTGACATGCATATTTAAGAAACTCCCAAACAATCTTGAAAACACAAATCAAATTTGTGCAACATCACCTCCCCAATACTAAGGTTAACAAACCTACAATAACTGAGATAATGCACCAATGGTTTACATTGGCTTCTATCTAGATTATTTAACAGGTATGTGAAATGCTGTAAACATTTGGTAAAACAATTCCACATTTCCTGGAAAAGCTTAGTATTGAATTACCAAATAGTCCATCATTTTCAATCCTAGGTACTGTGCACAATGAAAATAATTTTAAAATATTTACATATCTTCTACATGAATGCTATAGAAGAACTTATCAAAAGAGACCAAACACGGAAGGAACACAAGGTCTAACCAATAAAATGAATTGGTAAAATGTGATGTATGCAATGGACTACTGTAAAACAAAACACTGAATTATGTACTATTACATGTTACAATAAAGGTAAGCTTGAAGATAATATCCTAGGAGAAAAATGATAGATATAAAATGACACATGTTATGATTCCATTTTTAGAAAATTCCCAGAATATTAATATTCACAGATACACAGGCTGTAGAGAGGGAGTTTGGAGGAGAACACCACTAGGAGCAATATAGTTGTTTCTCAGGGCCAGAAAGACATTGTAGGTTGAAATAACAATAACTCATGATTGTGCAACAGTCTCCAGCTTTGCCAAATACAGCATGGGGAGTGAAAATAAACTTTGTTGAGAAAGGTTAGGACATATGCAAAAAAGATTTTGGTGATTTTTAATTCAATAACAACAGTACTAATTTTTCAAGATACATAGCAATAAAATTACATCAATTTTTATTCTAAATATTCTTATCATCTGAGTGAAGCAACACTGCAGTTACATAGGACAGGGACAATCTGTGGCAGGATTTCTTATAAACGATGAAGGAACACACATGCTACCTGCAGCAGAGTTATAATAGAATGACTTAGAGGTCACAGCCATGGGTGTTTTTTTTTTTATTGTACTCAGACAAAGTCTGATGCATCATTACAAAACACTTTCCTTGTTTTGCACTTAACACAGCACTGAAAAGTAATGTTGCTTCCCACAATGATTAAAGCATAATTACATATGTAAAAATAAATCAAACTTCTGTATATTCAAAACAAGAGAATACAAATAGCAACTGTGTTCATTTTAATTGTCTGAGAGAACCGTGAATCTGGTTGTGTTTTGTAAAAGGAGAGACATAACCTTAGTTTAAAACCACTGAGGATAAAGGACTGGAGAAGCAGGGCTGCTTTCTTCAGGCTATTTTGTAGAGCAGTAGGGAGGGTCTTGTTTTATAATTCATTCAAAGTGTCAGGTGCTGTGTTACCCATTTTAAACTCGTATTACTACATGCTCCTATTCAACATGGCTTAAAGGGCGCCTCCCATTTTAGAACCAAAGAAATTGAAGATTCATAGATTGAGGATATATAAGTAACAAGTCCTGTGATAATGTCCCAAATTCAGGCTTATTTGATTACAAGGCCCAAGTATTGAGCAAACCTCACTATTTGTAATTAAAGCTTCATAAGAGCCTGTATAGACCAAAGGGCATGATGTTATGTTTCTCATTACACAGGGCTGAATATTCAATGCCAGTTTTACTAAAAGGCTTAAGAATCACTGTGCTTTTTAAATTTCTTATTGGAAATATTTTTCATAAACATATCCTGATTCCTGGTGGCTCTCCCTCTATTCCTCCCAGTTACTTTCCACCACCTGAACACCCCCCCACACACACACACAAAATCTGCAAAAGTCCGTGTCCATACTCAGGTGTGTGTCATATACTTTGTTCCCGAACATGTCTCTTTTCCTTAACCACCATGTTTAAAAACTTTATTAACACCCCATTCAGTAAACTGTGACTCTGCTTCAAATAATTAAATAAAAGCCACTATGCTGTGCATATTGTAGTATTGTCCCTGGTAATAAAGACCACAGAAACCTTCCCTACTGATGTGTACTAAAGAAGAGCATAGAGGGTCTAGTGCTATCCAAAGAGTTGGGGAAGCATTCAAAGCAAGGGATGCTAAGCAAGTGTGGGATCAAGACCTGTGCCTCTCCCTCTTTACAGAGCATCATGTGTTTCTCACTACATTATAAAACATAATGTATATCAAACACAGGGCTGGACTGCCCAGAGAGACTCCTAGCTATGAACACAGTGTTTCTGAGGAATTTTCTACCTGTTTCTCAGAAAAACTGGAAGTCTCAGTCAGTTTTAATCTAGGCTAGGCTTGCAGCACAGGTGCAGACAACTTAGGATATGGAGAAGCAGGTGCCTCAAAAGACGCCACTGTCATAGACTGTTTTCCATGTTGAGAAAAGAGAAAAGATGCTTCCCAGTGTTTTATTGTATTTGAACTTCATATAATTCCTAAAATGATATGTTCTTTTATGTAAAGGGACCAGCCCCCTGCTTTAGCAGCCATGACAGGCTAACATGTGCTTGTCTGACCTTGCCCCTCCTATCCTACTCACTAGAAGGTCAGACACCATCCTCGTGGCAAGGAACCAACCAGAAGTTAGATGGTGGGGCTGTGCTTTGCGGCTCTGGGTGTGCTTTATGGTACAACTGCACAACAGTGATGTGCAGAGCATAGCAACCTCCATGGAAGGGCCTGTAGGCCATAACAACCTAGTTGACCAATCTATATATGACAGATCACTCAAGCCTGAAAGTTCACCAATCCTGAGACTGTTGTATACCCCTAGACACTCCCCTTGCTCTACCCAATATATTCCCTGCCTGTGGCTCCCCTGGGTCCTTCTCCAAGCATCTGCCATGATGAACAGACAAAGGGCCTGAGCTAATGGGGTTAGCTCATTAAACAATAATAGAAGACTCTTTGCTTTTGTATTGAAAAGGGTCTCTTGGTGATTTTGGGGTTTCAGAATTTGGGCACAACATTGATGTAATGTTATAAATGAAGTGAAAATAATCAGAAATAGTAAATAACCACTAATGTGCCAGTGGGGAAGATGGTTAGAGCTTTAATTCCACATGTAGCATTATTTCTGCTGCACTCTGATCCATATTTGTGCCTGGATTGAAGTATTTCTGTATAGCTTAACAGTAAATGAATCCCTTATATAATTTGTGAAGAATTCTTTCCTGCTTTTGTCCAAGGGCAAAAGGGAACAT